GAGAAGAAGAAGAAGAAGAAGAAGAAGAAGAAGAAGAAGAAGAAGAAGAAGAAGAAGAAGAAGAAGAAGAAGAAGAAGAAGAAGAAGAAGAAGAAGAAGGAGGCGAGGCCCTATAGGCCCCTAGCTAATTTTTTAAACGTTTTCTGACAGGAAAGGGGCATAAATCTAGTCAACAAATCCACTGTCAGTTTCCAAGATGGCGTCGGTCATCTCTGATCTGAATGCCGGGCCGGGGGTAAGTGATGGTTTTCACTGTTGTGTGTTGCTTAAAGTATTGTTCATTTCACTTTCATGTAAGATCAGCTGATGAAGCATACATAAAAAAGAATAGATCTAGATCTAGAATCTAGACTTCGTTTTCTCTTTTGCACTGAACAGTGAACAGCTTCTTGATTGGCAGCGTACTTGCTGCAGATTTGGCGTGTTTAGATCTTCTAATTTACATCTTGAGTCTAGAATCTAGATATCTATATCTTGATATATTCTAGATCTAGAATCTAGATCTAGATTAAATCTAGATCATCTAGATGTAAATTAATTTTCATCAAAAAAGGTAGATCTAGCGTCAATTGCCTCCGAGTGAAGCGGTGTCAAGTCTGAAAACATCGCTCTAGATCTAGTCTAGATCTATCTTTAGCCTTAGCTTAGCCAGCTTTCTATTCTGTGTTACGAACACATCATGAATAAGTTATAGATGGACTTGTGTGAAAAACAATAAAAGTGAAATTAACAGACTGTGCTTAACCCTAGAAGCGCTCAGCGTTTCACCGGAAGTAACCTGCCAAAAATGCCCCGCCGCCACGGCCGGTCAGTTGTAAACATGGGGGTTTGGCGGGGGGGAAACAGCTGAGATACCCGAAATGTATACCTGCTACTGAAAAATTACCATTTACGGCTCAACGGATGATAAAAAGCATATAAAAGCATATATTTTCTTTAAGTTTAAGCTGATAGAATGAGCCATTCAAAAATGATCAGCGATCAAATAAATACACACAATGCCGAGAATGCGATAGACTCAACAATTAGTACATCAGCACGGCGAAACAAGTGATAACACATAGCGTGTAGTCGCTCAGCGGGACTGCGTCACTTTATTGATCGATATCTCGGCCAAGAGACGCTCTACGAGGTCAAGATAACTTGCAAAGTCATTGGTCACTATTTATAACTTTGGCCTGTAATTGACTACGTCATTTTCCATATAATGCAATAAGGAACACTGGAATTTTCCATTGAAAAGGGTCAGCGTCTATGCCCTTTATATAGGGCCTGCGCCTAGACGGTCATATAATCGCCTAGGCCTGCGCGCTTCCTAGTCGAAGTAGGTCAGCCCTATATATAGGGAGTGCGCGCTTCCCGGGTAGCCCGGCTCACGCCCTTTATATAGGGCCTGCGCGCTTCCAGGGTTAATCTAGATCTAGATCTAGACCTAGTTTTCTAACCCCCTCGTTTCTCATAAGTTGATATGACATGAAGCTACAGCAAGCACCCAGCACACCTCTGCCTCTGTCATTGCATTGGCCTAACGGAGTGTCTACATGCACAGTAACCGGGCACGTAGTCTCAGTATCTACATACACGGTAACCGGGCACCTAGTCTCACCTAGTCTCAGTATCTACGTACACAGTAACCGGGCACGTAGTCTCAGTATCTACAAACATGGTAACCAGAATGAAAATAAATCAATATTTGTCCTGTGCTGTCACTTGAAAGAAAGTCATACAAGCATCTTGTCGGGCTCACAATCGTGACCAGTGAGTGAACCTGTGCGTGCGCATCACATTGTGAGTACTGGTTGGGGTCACCAAGTTCATTCAAAGTCTGTGGGCTGCGAAGTATTTAGGGCTCCGGAATGGGGGGGATTATTGATTTTTTTAAAAGGTACAGTCCTGGGAGGGGTGGGGATGAAGGCAACACCAGATGACAAAAACTGAACTTGGAGTTCTGAAGTGCCTGTTACCATGTACGCGACACTGAGACTACGTGCCCGGTTGCCAGTTACCGTGCACGTAAACACTGAGGCTAGGTGCCCAGTTACTGTGTACGTAGACACTCAGTTGGCCTAAATATAGATGATGTATTTCCGCCATCTATATTTGTCATCTTCCGGGGCTTCCCTTGCCAGTTGACTACATCTCTCCGTGGTGGGCCCCTTTTGCTGCTTGGCCCGTGTTGGGCCACGTCACTAACACTTGGTTTCATCGCCGACTGCTTGGGCTGTGTGTGCGCACGCGCTTGTGTGTGTGTGTGTATGTTTGTGTTCGTGTACCACTTTGAGAAGAGAAGGTAAATTTGTGGAACGAGAATTTCTGAGATTGTTTATAAAATCGACCCGCAGTAAACGATACATTTCCAAAAAAAGCAAGAACAGACAGATATAGAAATTCATTCGTACCAACTGCAGTGAGGTTACTGAACACACAGGGCTACAAATGAAACAGAGAGATAGAGAAGAATGTTTTACGGAGCGGGTTGTCCCAGCCTGTGAGACATGTGTTTACTTGGCCTAATGTCCTGTCTTGTTGTGCGTTTGTGTGAGTGCACCTTTAAGTCTAATTTTTGTAACGTCTACTGCCATTGTTAACGACCAAGACAAATTTCTCCCAGAGAGATGAATAAAGATTGTCATTGTCAAAAAAGATAACACAAATTATTAATACAAAAGAAACGAACACGGAGAGATCTAGTCAACAGTTACTGGTGAGGGAAACCCAAGAGTCTTGGGGGAACCCACGGAAGATGACAAAGATAGATGGCGGAACTCATCTATATTTGGGCCAGCCACAGAGGTGTGCTAGGTGCTCACTGTAGCTTCATGTGTTGATAAGTCATAAGGAGTAGTTACACACATTCCTGAGTTCGAAAGGAAATAGTACAGGTCAATTTCCGAATATTTTGCACTCAAATTCTTCTTTTTACCTGCACAATGGTATTAAAAACTATAAAAACTTATTTTTATCAGGTAATGTCATTTTGCATAAATTCAAGCTCATTTGAAAGATTTTGTACAGTAATAGTAAAATGGAAGTCTTGTTTCATGGCTATCCTTTCGAGCTCCTCATGTCTATGTGGGTCAATTTGTTCTCTACTAGAATTTCATTGGACGAACATAGCTACCAACTTGGCGTGTTTTGAATGATACTTCTAAGGCAAGCCTTAGCCTACGCTTCGGTGTAGAACAAACTCAGGCAATTCTAGAAGTATGCCATAAACACACACAAACTCAAGCAGAAATTCATATATCAGGGAACATAAATCCAGGGGACGTGGGTTAGGGAAAGAGAGAGACCCACACACTCACACGCACGGACAGAGAGGCGTGGGTAAGCGAAAGTTCACTCAGTGGCAATTGACAGTACCATTTAATTTTGTAGTGACCTGACATTATAATCTGCTGTTAGTAGGACAGTTCACACATATAGATCTATGTGTGTTAAAAGATTTGTAACATGTGCAATCTGACTATGTGTTGCAGGATATACGTCGGCAAGTGAACCTCTTTCTACAAGGCTCCACTGGGTCTGGACCTGTCAGCATCGATGCCTTGTCCAGCTCAGCACTGTTCCTACTGAGGGCTGTTCCAGTGGCCCGACATGCAGTGTTGGAGCACTATGCTATGTCTTTTGATGATGCGATCAACACATTCTTGAGTTTCCAGGATGGTGCTGGTGGCAATATGAAGGGTATGACGATTGAGTTGTTCAATTGAAGCTTTATTTTTTAGTCTGCGATGCTGTTTTTTTGGTGTTTTTTTTTTCCTTTTTAGGAAGTAGTAACTTTCGGACTCACACTCTCTTCTGTTGCATACAAAGACCGACTACTGTCTACATTGTTGTCATTGATAGTTGGTCTGTGCATACCAGAGACACTACCGGCAGAGAAAAGAATTGATAGAATAATGGAACCTTATATAGGATCAGTCAGCTTACCTTACAGGACACAAAACTCTCTTTTAATTTAATTTCTGTAAATATACAATGGTAGAAATCCAACTAAATCGCTACCCTAGAATTAGAATTACAAAGTTCTATCTTTCTGCTCAGTATCTAATTTTGAGGAATTTTGACTTTAACAATTTTGAGTTGCATTTTTTTAATGCTATTCTTTGAATAGCCTATATCTTGAAAATGACACGGAATAATCCTCTATGATTTTGATAGAGCAGATAGAATATTTGGTTTCTGACCTCATGATCTAAGTAATACGAAACGGACAAAAATGTCAGAAAGAACTTTGTAACTAAGGTAGCGAAATGTTAAGTTTGGAGTTGCCATGTAAATGTTTATGATGAGGAATTTTATGTAAAATGCATTCATATGTTTTTATTGGGTATGATTGTAATATATATGTTAACAAAACGTGTCCCCCTGGTGTAATGTTCATATTGACTTATTGTAATATTGACAATAATTTGACTGGCACTTTTGTTGTACCATCCACAGAGCCAGAATCAGTGCACATGTCAGCCTTGCAGGATGTGACCGGTGTCTTACTCAGCTTCATCAAGTCCAACCCTGAGGCATGGGCACCCGTTGTGTCTTCGGTGAGCTGTGCCTCTTGTTGTAGACGATAGATTTCTGACTATATTGATGCGAATAATGTAGACTAAAGTTCTCAAGTTGTAATCTCTCCCCCCCCCAAGTATTTTTCCGTTTGTAATATTGGAATACATTAGAGTATAAGCTGTATAGTTGTTGCTTTTTCTTCCCACTAGTAGTAAGAGCAAGAGGAATGTATTTGAATATCAGGCTTTATGTCCTTCTGTCCTCTAAATCCCTGCAAAATTTTGTTGACAAACTAACTTTTCATGAACAGACAGTAATTCTACTTTTTTCTGAATATGTTCATTTTATTATTTTTCCCCAGTGGGCCTTGTCGCTCTTGGGTCAGATCAGCAGCAAGTACGCTGCCAAACGTGGCATCCAGCACGCTACATCGCTTAATGAGGTGCTGCAGATGTGGATGGCATGTCCCCCAGCGCAGATGCTGATTGAGATCACCACAGAGTGTTTTGCCGCAATGTGAGTAATGTGTGTCTGTGAGGGGGATGGTGGGGATTGGGGGGGTGAAGAGGAGGGGATTTTTATGAGTGTGATGAAGGTGGGAATGGGTACGCGGCCATAGACAGGGAAAGATCTTTTCAGTATGTTAATGTTTTAGCGCCTATAAATAGCTGCTCGCACTGTATGCTTTCCAGGAAGTTGAAGTTGTTTCAGAATGCTCTCAGGTCTGCTGGGGTGATAGTATAGATTTTGAAGGGCATAGAGCTTGCTGTTGAGCGGGGATTTGCGCTATATAAATGCTATTATATTATTATTATAAAGTTGGTATTGTTGTGGAGTGAAGTGCATCTCCACTCAATATATGCTCTCTTTGTATTTTTGTGTCTTGTGAGTGACAAAGTAATATTTTGAGCTGGAAAGGAGATTGGTGCAGTTTGTGTTGTTGTGGGTGGTGTATCTTCTTCATGCACATTGAGATCACTCACCAGTGAGTGCTTCGCAAGCATTGAGTAATCAGGGGGATGGGGGGAGGATTTTGATGCCATAAGTTTTTTTTTTTCTTTTTGTTGTTGTTGTTGTTATTATTGTGTATGGTGTGCTCTCCAGCACAGAGGTTGATTGGGATTGCTCATGAGTATTTTGTTGCTATGAAAGTGATGTTTAGGGCGGGCAATGGGCTTGTGTTTGATAATGTTATTCTCGACACTATTTTTGTCATGGATCACTTTTCCTCTCGATACTGGTGTGTATCCAGATCACTGCAATGTGTGTTGCTGCTGTGTGTGTCATACAAAGATTTGTTAGTTGTGTAAATGCTTTCATAATTTTTCCAGATGTTTATGGTCCTTTGTCTTTGGATCTAGTGTCTCAATTCTAGATCACCTGTCACCTACCTACTACCATGGCTGTATTCATCTGTTGGTGCCGCACTCCTTGCCACAACACGCCTCCATCTCCCCGAGTCCCTGCTTTGATATATTATTTGATCTGACATGTTATGAGGTTTTCTTGACATTGCCTTCTGGAGGGGCAGTGTACATACTGTGCAGGAGCACTAGCCGTTGTTGTTCTTAAGGAGTCTTCTGCCTACAGCTGTGTAAACCAAGAAGCCGTAATTGTAGATGCACAGACAAAAGTTTGTGCCGTCTTTTTTTTTTCTTTCTCCTCAGATCGGTTATCTTGCTTTTTCTGATTTTTTCTACACACTGTAGAAAAGCATCTATTAAAATATTTTTTTGTGAAGCATGCTGACAAAATGAGTTATTTATCGGATTCAGGCCTTAAGGAAATAGATACATCACACTTATAGGTGAAGTTTTTACAATGTATAAGTATGAAATAAAAGGTACGTTAAACTTAAAGAATATGGCATCAATAGAAAATCAACAAATTTGACCCTAGTGTCAATTTTTGGACAATATCTCCGTTTGTGGACTGCGAGAAGTAACTCATTTTGTCAGCTCGCCTCACATTTGATAGCCTCTTAGTTGGAAAAAGGAAGAAGTCTCACTACTGATCTTTTTCCTGTTCCTCTCTCCCCAGGGTGGGTGGAGCTCCTGACATGTGTGTGGATGCCCTGCTGGAGGCCTCGGTGAGGTACTCTCCACACTTTGACTGGGTGGTCGCTCACATTGGGTAAGTCTCTCTCGTTCTTTTTTTGTAAGCATGTCGAACTCGTAACGACATTTTGTTCATGTGTTTTTATATTGTGGTTCGCTTGTTTCTATCTCGTCTATCTTTTCTCTGGTTTCCATATGGACAGAATTAACTGAGTGTAAAAATTGGATAAGATTCTGGGTACATCATGTACACCTTTATTTATTTTTTACAATCTTTAAGAGACATCTTTTAAAACTTATTTTTGTACAGAAGTTCATACAGTTTATGTACACTGTCAACCTAGGGAGTTGGACACAGTCCCTAAGAGCAAATTTATTAAGAGTATGGTCTGAGAGAGAAACAGGCATTTGGCAGGGTTGTGTGGCTTCAGTACTGAATTTGAGAAATTTTATTCCGGCCACAACATTTTGTCCAAAGAGTTCTGCCACTGTAATGTGTTGTTGCACAAAGCTGTTCCCGTTTGACAGGTCTTGTTTCCCTCGCACCATCATCACTCGTGTCCTCAACTGTGGCCTCAAAGATTTCTGCAGCAGTGGTGTGGATGGGCAGGATAAAGACATGGGCGGTGGTGGAGGGGGGCGCAATAAGGTACCCAAGATGGCGTCCGTGGTGGGGATTCTGGGACATTTGGCCTCGAAGCACAGCCAGGATATACGGAAGGCTCTCATGTCTTTGTTTGAGGTTAGTGGTTTGAGGAAATTTTATTTTCAACAGTTTTTCTTTTTCTTTTTTGTTCCCATGTTCATTGTCTACGAAATGGGTTCACCAATTTGTTCAGATGTTCGAAAAATGAAATTGAATCTCTTTTGTAGTCATTAGCACTGCCATTTGTTATAAAATGTCAAAAGAAAGAAACTTTTATGAGAAATTGCTAGTGTGATAAAGACTTGCCTTTCTTTTTTTAAAAAGCAAAGGTTACAAGTAGCAGAATTCCTCACACTCTTATTGTTGTCCCAGAACTTTATAAGTCCATCTGACCAGTGGTCAAACCTGTAGCTTTATGACGCAATAGTCATTGTCCACTGAAATTTGTTTTCTGGTCTGTTATTTGTGACATGTGACTGTTGTCGTGCTGACTTGCTGTGAACTTCTGCCCCTTGGTCTTTTTTGAGACTGAAGAAAAGATAAGTGATTCCTTTTCAACTCTTCAGTGCCACTAGTGAGCCTGTGTCAGAATACTCAGAGACAAGGAATAAATTAAGTTGTTTTTCAATTTCATCTTTTTGTGTGTTTTTCTTTTCTATAGACAGTTCGTTGGTTGTCTGGTTTTGTTTTTCTCCCTCTTACTTCTTTTTTCAGTATCTCTGTGTTTGTTATCTGTTTCCAGACGAAAGGGCTGCCATTTAAGCCTACCAAGTTTGACTCACTGTAAACTGCATCTCATCTTATTGTTGACTGTTTCCTTCACAGGCAAGTGTCCGATCAGACTCTGTCAGCAACAAAGTGACCACACTGCCGTTCCTGCTCCAGCTGGCCTCCATGTCGGACATGTTACTGCGCATTCTCACGACGGATCTCGTCGCTGCCTGTAGGTGCTTTTTTGTCTGTTGCCCCTCCCATACCATCGGTGTTGAATTCATTTTTAAAAATTGTTTTGATTCATTGGTCCAAACATTCTTCAGACGTGGGAATTTTCCTTTTTTTTCAGCGCTCCACTCTTATAAGAATTATTTCTGGTTCAGTTACCACATATTGGTGGATATGTATTTTAGTGGGTGGTTAGTGGGTGCTCTGGTGTGGTTTGCCTCCTTTTTGCCTGTCAAACATCTATCGTCCTTATTTCTCACTCTTCCATTTTTTCGTTGTATGTTACTCTCCAGTAGTATTAATAATCTTCAGCACACATATTTGACCTTTTTGTATTCCAAGTGCTGTAAAACTCGGACTGAAACTAGATGTTTTATATTGCGCCTTGAAGAACTAATATGCTGGGGGGGTTTTTTGTAATGCTCACTCACAGGTTTTTTTGTATGATTTTTCAGTCCTTTTAAATCCCCATTGGTCCCAACTGATGTTGAGGAACCAGCTCATGTCATAGTTCTAATCTTAGATAGATGATTAATCTCAGTCAACGGTAACGATGAACCATTACTCTAAGCGGCCAACCAGCTGATCTGACTGTTCTTTGTGCTCTTTTTCTTCCTCTTTTTTTGATTGTTTGTAATGTGATATAATAAGAAAAATGAAAAGCAGCAGTGTTCCATGCGTGTGTTAAAAGGGGTTTTGGGTCTGCAGAAATAGCAGCGAGGAGTTGTAAAACATGTATATTTACAGCAGAAATTATTCACACGTATACACATACATGCTCCTGCATGGATGCACACATTTACGCTCACACACATACATGCACATAACATGCGCTTGCTCTGTTTCACGTTCATTTTCAGTAATGTAAACGTAAAAACACAACACTTAGTTTTGCTTTCAGGAGCAAGTTTTATCATTCTATATCAGGAACATTTTTATTGTTTCAGTGAAACCACCAGTGCTGAACCAGCTGCACCGACAGTTCACGCGATGGAAACATGCCGCCCCGGCTGAGTATAATAGGTGCTTTTGTTATTCTACATGTTTTCTTTAAACATTTAAAAAAAAATTACATTTTTTGTCAACCAAACCAATTTTGATCATTCAGGAGATGAGCTCTGCCAACCTTTCTTATCAATGACTTAGAGTTACAAACTTAACTAATGTTTTGAGTTATTTATGTTGGCCTATCCAGGCTGTGTAAGGTTGGCCATAGTTGAAAGATAGAAATATTCAGTGGAATATCTTCCCCATCATTCCCAAGCATGCTAGGTGAACAGCTGAGGTGTTTGCAAATTTGTATACAAGATGTTTTGTTCTCTGTAGAAAATGTCCTGTCAATCTTAGTATTGTAATACAATTGTCATGTTGCTACTGACACTGATAAGTACATTTCATTTTGTTTCTCGAAAAGATATTTCTTTAGAGCAAGCTGTCTTTGCTCCTACTTTTGGTATACATGATACTTCACTCCCTCAAAATAGAATCTATCTTGTTATGATATAGGTGATGATCCCACTAGCACTTTTGAGATTTTTAAGAAGGTAATCTAAATAGAATGAGCTATTGATTTTGTTATATACTGTGTGCCGGTACTATATTACACCACAGACACTGGTATTTGGCAGGTTTGGGATAGATTAGTACATATTATGCTCCATGATCACATATTTCCTCTTTACATTGTTTGGACTGTCACATATGAATTGCAACCTGTACAACCTGTAATTGTTGAATTTTGTATAAGTGTCTAAAAGCACTGGCATATGCAAGGTTTGAGGGATATCTTACTTTTTCCATGTCAAACGGGAGAAACACAGTGCCACTCTTCGTTGGGGGATCTGTGTTGTGTTTCAAAATAATTCTGGTGTTTTCCAGCTTCCTGAACCTGGTGGTTCACCTTATCGCCAAGAGCAATAGCGGGGCCTATGACATCATCAACTTCATCATCTGCACCGCAGCTCCACAAGGTTTGTGTGAGAGTGTTTATTAACTCTTGAGTCTAGTCCTATTTGCATTGTCATGTTACTGTGTTGTACACTCACTGTCATTCATCCCTGTAAATAGAGTTTAAAAAGGTAAATTCCTGTATCAGATCATCTAACAAGGGTGAAAGAGTTTGAATCTGTTGTATGATCATAGAATTTGCCTGTTGAGTCAGATTGCCTTTTCGAATTTCTGTTCTATATGATAAATGCGAAATAGAATTGCTACACAAAATGGGTATTATTTGTGGGTTTGGGATAACGTGGATGTCTCTGCTCTGATATGGAAGTATGATGTTTATTGTGGTGTATTGTCTTTGCCGTCTTTCTTCTTTACTCTTCCAATTCGCACTGAGCAATGGAGTCTGTAGTGTTGTGGTTCGTTGCTTCTCTGTGGTACACTGAAGAATGTAGTTTGATTCCCATGTGGGATTGGTTTTTCTGCCAGGACGCTGTGTCCTTCTCTGTGGCCCTTACAAGAAGGGTAGAAGCCTGCCTTATATATGATCTCAATTGTGCCAATGGGGACATAAAAAGTTCCGCATTAAAAAGAAATTTCGCTCTGAGCCAAGAGTTCTGGCTTCAAAATGACAAATTTAAAAAAATCTAATTGGGTGTTATACCCATGCAAAAAAAATTTCTTTAAGTGAACGAAACCAAGGAATAAAAGTGGAGTGGTAATAGATTTTCAAATTTTATTTTTGAAAAGTGCTTAGAAGTAAAGGGTTTGAAGAAAAGGTTGAAAAAGCTGTGGTCTAAATTCTTGGTAGGATAAGATGTATTCAACAATGTACAGAGTAAGTTTCCTAGGGTCAGGACTACATTATCTTTGTTTTTGTCCATACAGGTGTGGGTCAAGGTGAGGTGGCCCAGGAAGAAGTGAGGGACACCTGTGTGGAGATCATGGTGAGTTGAGTGTGATATGTGTGGCTGTGAGACTGTTATAAGTGTGTGTGTGTACGAATGTATGTGCTGTACTTACATTTTTCATCAGTGGCTCTTGATTGAAAAGTTCTGAGTGCCTAGTTGAAGATATGTTGTTTTTGAGGTTTTCATTGTTGTCTTTTTTTCTCATTCTTCCTCTTTCTGAGTCTCACTCTTTCCCACTTTTATCCTCTCAGAGTGGCCGTGATGTCACAATTTAAATGTCTTTATTTCTTCCTCAAAGTTGAAAACGTAAGAGCTGATGTGCACACATTTCACTCTCTCTCATATCCCTGATAGTTGACGGTATCTCTTCTGTTCTTTGATCCTCCTGCTTCTGTTCTCTGTTGCTGTTCTTCGGCTGTTGTCACGTTGACTCTGTGTATACTATGACTTTGGTAGTTCAGGGAGTTTCCATGGCTGGCCATTCACTTAGCTGGGACCTGTCACAGACAGATGTTGAATAAAAGGGAGAAAGGTGGGTTAAAAGGGCTAGAAGCAAAAACCCAAAGGAACGACAGCCCTTCTGAGGACTAGGGTCAACAGCCCAAAGGGGCGACAGCCTAATGAGGCTTCTGAGGTCTAAGTGCGACAGCCCTTCTGAGGACTAGGGGCAAATAGCCTAAACGGGCGACAGCTGAAACGGTTAACAGCCCAAAGGAGCAACAACTGTTCTGAGGGCAAAGGGGCGACAGCCCAAACAGTCACCTGAAAAAGAAAAAAAAAAAGGTTGTTTCTCTTAACTCATTGACAATGCAAGTTTTTCACCAAAATTTTCCCTGAAAACGCACGATTCTTACCTATTTTTAAAAAATCTGTGTGATAAACCTATCAACTGTACAGGTATAAAAGTTGACACAAAGTAAGATCGTCATGTATACTTACATAAAATGTATTTATTTTTACAAAAACTTTTTAAAAAATTATGTTTTAAGTGAAATTTAAAAAAAAAATGTAAACAGAGAAAAAAACTTATCTTTATGAGCTAAGCTCCTGGATCTCAGAATTGATTGTAGTCAATTAGAATGGTTTCAAACAAGTAATACTTAGTGATATTATCTATAAGAATAGTGACATTACCAGGAGCATTGCAGTTTCCTGAATCAATAATCCCTATCGCTTCGTTGGTAGTGAAAGGAGCTTCCAGCAGCTCTCTGTTTCTTGTTTACGTAAAAAGTAGGTCATGTCAGCGTGTTTCGGCTGATTGCTTATAGCAGACAATTCGGGTGACCAATGGTCAAAGGGATACAACCACAATAAAGTTAAATGGTTCATTGAGATTCTATTAGTATTTAGGTACCAAAAAATAACTTAACAGTGTTGAGAGGAGTGGTGAACTAACACAGTGATGTACATTCACAGTAAAAGTATTGTTTGTTCTTGAACACATAGTCGCTGCTAATGCTTAATGGTAAGTGGGTGCTGTGGTGGGGTGTGGTTTGTTCCTTTTTCTTTCCTATCAAATATCTGTTGTTCTTATCTTTCCTTCTTCTTTTCTTTGTATGTGACTCTCTAGTAATGTCTCTAACCTTTGACGCTTATATGACCTTTTTGTGTTGCAAGTGTTGTAAACTCTTACTTGTTGGTGGTTGGCTCTGATGTGGTTTTCTCTTTCTTTCCTATAAAAAATCTATCATCTCTATCTCCCCTCCTTTTTGTGTTAGTTACTCTCTTGTAACGCCTCTTAATCTTCGGCACTTATATGACCTTATTGTGTTGCAAATGCCGTAAAACTTTTACTAAGACTAGAACTCTTACTTACATTGAATTCATACTTTCTCATATCTCCACCTTGATGGGCAGCACATTCTGCTGTTTGAGCTTCAGCGTGGCGTCCTGTCCAGAAAGATGGACAGCTCACCGACCGACATCCCTCTCCTGGCAGGCCTGGCCTCACAGACTGACCGTTTGACCAGCATGTTGCTCTCCAGTGAAGGAAAGAGGTACAGTGGTGGTTCTTTAAAGTGGGTCGCTTATCTGTTTGAGATTCAAAGTGAAATGTCCTCAACTTTGTTGCTGGCGACATCTTTAAAAGTACCTCAAGGCTGTTTTTTGTAGGTAGTGGCAGATCTTGTTGCTTGTAGGTAGTGGCAGATCTTGTGTTAGAGGAAAAACTTTTTTTTAAAGAACGAATGTTTTGGAGACGGAACAAATTGTCCTCATCAGTTATGATGGTGAAATTGTTATTATTCATATCTGGCCCTCATTGGCCTACTTAACCATCGCAGGACAGAAGATGTTAACCAATATAGCACCAATTCTATCAGAGCAGCGCTTACCATTATTAGTATTGCTATTGTTATTATTATCATCATCATCATTATTATTATTAATAGTCTCAGCTCACCATACTTTGTGTTTTCTTCCAGGGTACCGTGGCTACAGAAGCTGTTGACCTTCACTGCCCTTCAGGCTGGGGAGAGTTGTGCGGCTAACGTGTTGACCTCCATCTTGTTCCAGGCTCGAACCCCGCAGCAGGTGGGTACCACTGGTCTGTTTGTGGAGTTAAGACTTTTTAAGAGGAAGAACTTTAGGCTTGGCAGGCTTGATGTAGGCTCCGAGATTTCTGTTTTAGCTGGTCTTCAGGAAAATAAAAATTTCCTTGAAGTTCATTCTACATAATGGAATGTGTGAGAGAGAGAAAGAGAAAAATATGAGGGGGGTTGTATGATTGCTTTGTTGGGCAATATGCAATTATAATGTCATCACTTTGTTGTTGTTAGGAAAAAATGTTTAGTGCATAGAATCACTTTAGGAAGATGTGGTACATAAATTAATTTAATTTAATCATGTTTAATATGTGATATCTCTGTCCCATGTTGATAGTAGATAAACATTGTGTTTCCAGTTTTTTCTACTTCTCTTCAAATTATGATGTATGGGAATATAGTGGAGGATGCTCTTTTGGGGGATGTGGTGCATACTGTATGCAGTCGTTGCTAAAACTCACCATCATGTTCCTTTTAATCTATTTACAAACCTCCCCCTCCCTTAGGTCTATGTAGTGAGTGACATATTTATACTTTTTTTTGTGTGTGTTGGATATCATTGTTGAGAGAATGGAGTGGAATAGTTGGGAACCTAGGCAATGTCCTTTCTACTTCTGAACTGAAGTGACATATTGTGTATGCAGTTTTTGTCAAAGCCTGGCAACAACAATCCTTATCCAAATACTTATCTCTCCCTCCTTCTCAGCTAGGTGTGTTTTATCGGCTGAAGCAGGGTGTAGAGCTAGGCATGCCGGGCATCGCCCAGAGCGCTCTGGTTCGCGTCTTCTCTCGCCTGGAGTCGCCCAGCTCGGCTGGACCATCGGCTGGTCACTCAGGGGCCAGCCCCTCATCGATGACTCTGACAGCGCTTAAAAATCTGGAGAGAGTTGTCATTGTGGAGAGCTCCAAGGTGAAACGGAAGCTCCTCTCCAGCAGGTAGGTCCATCGGATGCAGGAGGGGGGGTGGGAACACTGCCGGCTCAAGTGTTTGTCACAGGTGGCGGTAATGTGGGAGTTTTGAACCAGATGTTAAATTGAGCTGCTGAGGGGGGAATCAAGTTTATTTGTTTGTTATTTTTTGTTTTTAACATTTTGGAATTGAGACTAAATTAAAAAGAAAGATTAACGTGTATGTTAAGGGAAGGGCAGGGGGCTGACTTGTTGTGTCATTCATGAATGTACATAGAACTGTTGAACCTGGATTAAGTGCATTGTCAAGTCTGTCGGCGTCGTACTAGACTCTAATGCAGACTGTGGTTACAGTGGTGGTTCAAATCCCTTACGGGGCGTTCTTGAGCTTAAGTTGTTTGGGGAGTTATATGTCGAAATTTTGACAAAATGAAAATCAAGTAGGCCTATTTTGTATAGTTTGATGAGGGGCGTCGATTGGTCCTGATCTCACTCCTCTTCTTTAAATAGAAAGCGATTTAGATGAATTAAAGGTTTTGTACTTAAATCTAGATAATCAGAGATGGAAATTTTCCACAAATTTCCGTAATTTTGATTTGCTGCTTTCAGTGGTGAGTCATTCTACTGTGTGTACTAATCTACAATGGAATAAGTGTATTCTTCCAAATCTCTTAAGCCTGCGAAAAGTTCAGTAAATTTTGGACTGATCAGCTTCCATCCCTGGATAATGTCATGCCCGAAATAAAAGTTATTTGCTACTCCTGAAAACCTTGTATTTTAAAATGCGACAATGATAAATTACAGAAATGATATTGTATGTGTCACAGCACAGTGGAATCAGGCGCTCGTAAATTTTTGGGAATATGGAGTTATTGGTATCATCTTAAAAGTTGTTCCTTTGCCTTGCTTTCGATGAACCAAATATCCATTTAGCTTGAATAGAAGTTGAGATATTTGCGATTGAAGGAGGTGGGGTCGCCTTGTTCCAGAAGTAAAATTAGTGAGAAAATGGCCGCCATAGTTATGTGACCTCCATCGCTTAAGAGTCCTTGGAAACTGTAAATTTACATTTTTTGTACCTTTAATCAATGATTTTCCATAAAATCCACACATAAAAGTGTTTTTGAATGGACGTACAAGGTGTTGAGCCAAAAAACAAAAATTCTGAAAAAAATTTCCTAACTGGTCGCAAAATACGGATTTCTCGGATTTCATTATTTTGACGAGCGCCTGATTTCACCATGATGCCTCACATATGGACCCCTGGATTTTTACCACTTGGCTTTCTAACTTGACTTATGATTTGTCTCTATCCCCCCCACCACCAGCACTATCATCGAGTGCCTGCGTACAAGACACGCTGCCATGTGCGACTTCCTATTGTCGCCCCACCCGGCTGTCTCTCTGAGTGCGCTCAGACTCATTGACATGGTTGGCTTCCCCGACGACCTCAGTGTGACCTTGCTGACCCAGCTATGTGGCGCAGTGACCTTGGCTTTCTTTGCTTCCCTACACCAACGTTCTCAAACCACTGGTACGGTCAAGAATAAGAGTAAGATGTGGATGGCTTTTTTGTTGGTATTTTTATACTGGATAATTATTTATATGGTTTCCATTGTCAAAAAATTTTGAAAATCTTGACCTGTTTTTCTTGAGGGGAGTTGGGGTGGGATGTTTTTGGACATTGGACCTTATAATCTGGTCACAACTATGTTTTGAAAAACCACCTTACAGGAAAGAAATTGTAATGATTTATGTCCTCGTTGACACTATTTGGATCATTTAGGGGAGGACGACTTTGAGCCTGCCTACTGCCTGTCAGGGCCAACCCTGACTAAATGGGAGAGAGTATCTCAGCAGACTGGCGATGCTTGATAAAATTGCATCCACTGGAAGGATTCAAACCAAAGTCATCTGTTTGCCTAACCACTACACCACAGGCACTTAGTTTGTTGGAAAGTGTGTCATGTATATATAAATATGTGAGGCAAGCTGACAAAATGAGTTTCTTTTCGCAATCCAAGAATGGATATATTGGCCAAAACTCGATACTGGGGTCAGATTAATAGATTTATTTCAATTTCTGGATTTTGTTCAAGTCTACCGTGTCTTTTACTTTAGTATTCCATAATTACAAGCTGTCCAAACTCCATCTGTAAAGTTGGTGTTTCTATTTCCATTACGCTGAAATCAGAGAAATAACTCATTTTGCCAGCACACTTCACATATCGTAAGTTGAAAAAGGCACAGCAGTATTTCTGTGGACATGGGACCCAAGAATTATCTCATTTTACCTTGAATGGCGTAAGTGTGGAATTTTGTGACTTTTGTTTCTTGCCAGAGCACATCAAGTCGGCGAGGATGACACAGCTGTGTATGTCGTGCATCGAGCAACTGAGTCGTCTCCCCTCCACACGCAGTCTTCTCATACACTATTTGGTAGAGGCTGTAGTGCAGAAGGTGAGTTCTTCCTCTCCCTCCATCCCTCCCTCTTTCTCTCTCTCTCTCTTTCTCTCTCTCTCTCTTTCTCTCTCTCTCTCTCTCTCTCTCTCTCTCTCTCTCTCTCTCTCTCTCTCTCACCCAACCCTCTCTCTTTCTCCCCTCTCATAGAGGAAAATAGTTAATTTCTAGACACATTTGATTTTATTCTTCAAATTTTTGTTAGAAGAGCCATGGAACTTCTTAAATGCATTTGATTTTACTGTACATTTTCATGGAGAAGAGAACATTTGTTCCTAAAACGTGTATGATTGTGTTTTTCCTATTTTCTTAGAAGAGATGTTGGTTGTTTTTTTTTTAGATCCTGCTGCTCAAATTCATTAGAAGAGATGACACATTTATATTTCGGAGTCATTTTGACTCTTCAACTCATTGCGTTTCTTTACCTCACCCCAGGAACACATCCACCTCTTTGGTGGTCGCTGGTCTCCGTCCACGTTTGCTTCGGCGTCTACCCCAGCAGTGGCCTCGGTCAACGACAACGTGTCTCTGATGGAGGAAAACCGCCAGCAGAGCCTGTCCATCGCAAGGCCTCGCTTCCACTCAAGCGTGTACCACGGCGGCATCATACGACAGTCGGTCAAGGCACACAGTGCTGGGAAAGTGGTGCCAAAGGTTAGTGGGGGTGGGGTGGGGGGGTGGTGACTTGTGTGTGTGTGTGTGTGTGTGTGTGTGTGTGCTCATGATATGCTGAGATATAAGTTGGGAGCATCTGAGTTTTAAATGCAACTGAGTAGAGAGAATATAATTCCAAGAAAGAGCAGAAAAATTATAGTAGATTTTATTGTTTATCTCTGGTGCTAAGTGTACAAACTGGCAAAAATGCTCCCCCCCCCCCACCCCCAATAAATACATTTGACATCCTATTTTGCTTTTGTTCTAAAGTTGTTAGAACCGAGTTCCATTTTTAAAGGTTATGGAACAGGTTGTTGCTTGTATCATGTTGTCTGGTTTTGAGTGACAATCGTAGCAGTAAGGATGGAAGTTTTGTTTATCTCTGATGTGTTCTTATATCAGCAAAATGTCAAGCTTTGTAGAATGATTTTGAACTCTTAAAAAAATGCTATTGAGAAGGAAACTAGTAGTATAGATGCCAGCCAGGAAATTTGAGTTGAGACTTTGAAAAATTAAAAATTACTATTTCAGGAGCTTGTGTCAAGGAACTGTCTGACCTTCATCGAGACACTGTGGCTGTGTTGCCGAGAGCTAAACAGGCCGGGACAGGTTCTTGACTCAGCTAGTGGCGGGTCTGAGCCGGGAGAGGAAGCCATGGAAACCGACCAGTCGGCGACTGCCAAAGGGGTGAGTGCTTGAGAGTAGAGTGGGATGAGGTACCATGGGTTTGAATAAGTTTGAGTTTTGGAAATGTTGCAAAAGTCACTTTGATTTCTTTGTTTTGACGTGTACTTTAAATTCTACAGCTTTCATCTTAAATAACAATGGCAATTTCTATACTCACCTTTCACAGAAAACTTTGTCTTAGTCATTTACAATGGCAGCAGTATCACAAAGCTCACATGCTGTCATGCTTATAATATGCATAACAAAAAAGGACATAGATATTATGTGCTGAAATATAAACATCTTCTCTCTCTCTCTGTTTCATATGTAGAAATATATTGAGAAACCCCACTGAAGTTCGAAAGAAGGAATTTATATATCTCTCTGTTCTTGATGTATTGCCATCATTTTTTGGTCGATAATTCTGTCCCTGTAGGATTATGCGATTGTGCGGCCGCGCCCCGTTTTTTCGCGTAATTCTGCAACATTTGCATAATTTTGGATTATCCGCGTTTTTTCACGTTTTTTTCCTTTTTTTTTCACAAAACAATTAACACCTCGCCATGTGACTAAAGGGACGTAATCACCGTAATAACTCTCATTTAAGTGAAAAGCTGGTTATTTTCCTTTAGAAGATCTTGGTTATGGGTTGTGATTTTGTTCCTTGAGCATGTTCAATTTTTCAATCCATCAAAAGTTGTTGTTCTCAAGTCTGCTGATGTTTCATGTTTGACAGGTGTCTCTGGTTTTAGTAATGTGCCAGCATCAGAGGTCCAGATGCCCTTTAAAAAAAAAAAAAAAAAAAAACCATTTTTCTTTCCTCTATAGATCTAGAATCTAGATCTACAGCTGAATTTTACAGAGATTATTATTTTTGGTTGTTTTTTTTGTTTTTTACTGATGTGTATTGTTTTCTTTTCCATATACACTACAAATTACTGATACTGATAGGTTCTGTTTTCAATTTTTCTGTACATAAAACATGAAAATCATGAAACTTCGTGTTGAAAAAGTGCAAAACATGTCGCGAATGGTGTTACGGTAACTTGCATAATTTTTGCATAATTTTGCTTTTTTTTTCTCATAATTTGGCCTTCTAAATTTGCATAATTCTACGGGGACAGATAATTGAAATTCCAATCTCAATGTGGCTATAATTACAAAGCATTATTTCCAATTTTTTTAAAGAATGTTTGTCCTGTACAGAAATTCAGCATTATTTAGGTCTGTACCAATAGTTCTTGCCTTTCTGCCCAACTTTTTCTTTTTTTTTTTTCAAATGTACTGTTTTTTTTCAAATTGCTACTATTGCAAGATATACTCAGATTTATCAAATTTTCTGTGATGTAAATTTTGTTGATGGGGTCATGGGACTTAAACAATTTTCACATTGTGCAGTCCTGCCATGTAAATATCCCTATGTTATTATACCATTCACTGTATGACTGACTTGTTTGTATGTTTCCTGGACTATGCTGTCCCCGTAGAATTATGCAAATTTAGATGGCCAAATTATGCCCAAAAAAAGCCAAATTATGCAAGTTACCCTAACACCATTCGTGGCATGTTTTACACTTTTTCAACGTGAATTTTCATGATTTTCATGTTTTATGTACAGAAAAATTTAAAACAGAACATATCGGTATCAGTAATTTGTTGTGTATTTGGAAAGAAAACAATACACATCAGTAAAAAAAACAAAACCAAAAAATATAATCTCTGTAACTTTCAGCTGTAGATCGATCTAGATCTACACGGGAAAGAAAAATGTAAAAAAAAAAAAAAGGACATCTGGACCTCTGATGCTGGCACATTACTAAAACAAGGGACACCTGTCAAAAATGAAACTTCAGCACACATGAGAACAACAACTTTTGATGGATTGAAAAATTGAACATGCTCAAGGAACAAAATCACAACCCATAATAACCAAGATCTTCTAACAAGGGAAATAACCAACTTTTCACTTAAATGGGACTTATTACGATGATTATTTCCCTTTAGTCACATGGCGAGGCGTTAATTGTTTTGTGAAAAAAAGGGTAAAAACGTGAAAAAACGCGGGGCATCCAAAATTATGCAAATGTTGCAGGATTATGCGAAAAAACACGGCTGCACAATCGCATAATCCTACGGGGACAGACTGGCAGACTTCGGGGTGGATGGTTGGAGGATGCTACTGGAAGGTCTTACTTCTTTACTCTCCCTCTATTTCTGTCTGTCTGGCATACTTTTTCCCAGCACTAAATGACCATTATTGTATTGATGTGCTTCTCTTTACTCTAACAAACAAAACAAAACAAAACAGACGTCGGGGTATGTGATCAGCGAGAGCTGCGCCCGTACCTTGGGCTGTGCCGTGGTGGAGATGCTCACGCTTGACTCGCTCTACAACGACGTGAACTGGCAGGATCCAGACTTCCGGCGGGTCACCACCGAGAGGTAACTCTGTCGTCCCTACTCTGTCAATCATTATTCTTCTCTTGGGGGTATCTTAGTCAAGTTGTAGGGTTTGAGCTTAGCTGTGAATTTGACTCCGAGTGCTGTTGGACAGGATTTTGTACCCTGAGGCAAGGTACAGTGGACCTTGTCCAAGAAGACCGCCCATTGTTGGGAAGAAGAGTGATCACCTTAGACAGGTGGTCGTCCTCGACAGTTTTATTAAAATATGGAAAAAACGTAAGGAGAGAGGTGGGAACTTTTCATTTGGACAGGTTTTTGTCTTGGCCAAGGGGTCGTTTGAGCATGTTTGACTGTATTCATCACATTTTCCCACAGGTCATACAGTTGTAAGTGGGTGTTTAGTTAGTTAGATAAGGAAAATGTGAAAGACAGTGGTTTGCACTTTATAGCGTGCAGCACACTATGTTCCATGGGAGACTGAAGTGGTAAAGTGAAATGAACAGGCCAAAATAGGGAGACATTGTGAAGTTGTGTGAGTCTTGGGATTGATACTTGTCTATAAACAAGCCCTTTTAACACATTACACCCTAAGGGTCTGGACGGGAATTCCATTGTTAGATCCTAAGCAAGGGGAAGGAACCCACCTCCCGTGAATACAAGCCTTTAAAAAACACATTTTAAAAATACTAAATAAATTCCCAAAATCCTGAAAAAATAAAAGTTAAAACGAAAAATGAATGTAGTTTCAGAAAAATATAACTTTTTGTATGCGCAAACTGTTGGAAACATTCTAACTTTAGTTCAATCGGGGGTGTTCGACCCGTCACTCTCACTCTCAGCCTCGCGGTCGGGCCCTAGATCTAAATTCTAGATTTTCTACGTCTGATCAATCGAAATTGCCCCAAACTCTTGCTACGTTTTCATCAAAATCTGAGTCATCTGATTTGTCATTTGCTTTTTTTTACTCAAATCCATTGTTATTTCTTTTTTTGAACTCAATTGTGTCGCTTTTCAACAAGTCGAGACACCTTCGAGGTGTCGATAATGCGATCGCATTTCGTTCGGCTTTAATACTAAAACTATTGGCCCAAAAAATTTCGTTTCGGTATCAAACGAAAGAAGAAACTTTTTGCAATAACTATGCAAATCAAAATCTCGGCCCCAGTGTCTCGTCAAGGTGAGACTTCGTTTCTAAAGACGCTAGGTCGGCGCGGGCTGTTCCGGGCGAGTCAGGGTGGAGCGTGTAAGGGAATTCCGGGGCGGTCCCGAGCGTGTTGGGGTGTAATGTGTTAACTTTGTTTTCTCTTGGTTACCATGCCATTCCAGTATGCACTATAGAGTGTTGTCCACGGTTCCTCTAAAAATTTATCTTCCTCTCCCTTCCCTGCCCACAGAGACACCATGGTGTGGAAGAGAGTCGAAGAGCTGCCTGTCCTGCTCAGCGTCATACAAGAGTTTAGTTCCAGTGAGTTTGAGTTTGATCCATTTTGTTGTAGTTTGACATACTTTCATTGTGTACCCAGTGAGAATGCGGGTGGTTGGTCCTACTTCTTTTCTCTGCTGTTTCTGTCTGCCTGTCTGTCTTACTTTTTCCGAGCACTAAATGGTCATAATTGTGTCGATGTGCTTCTCTTTACTTAAACAAACAAACCAGTGGGAATATTTTGTGCCCAAGTGGACTGGTGCTCAGTTTGGGTTGTCCTTTCTACGAGTTTTCAGTGTCACTCTTCTCCTACTCTGCTCATGTTGGAATTACTTTGTATGTGGTAGTTATGGTGCAGACTCTCTGTAAACTTCAGCTGAACAGTTGTACTGTTGTTTTGGCTCTTTAAAGCTCATGTCATGATATTCCTTCTGACTGTGTGGATGGGTGGTTGGTGGGTGCTCAGGTGTGATTTGCTCCTTCTTTCTTAGCAAACATCTACGTCCTTATCTCTCCTCCTTTTTTTTGTTTGTTACTCTTTTGTAGCTCATCTTATTTTCAGTACTTATATAACCTATTTGCTTTGAGAGAGAGGGGGAGGGGGAGAGAAAGAGAGGGGTATAATTATACCAACAACTCCATATGCAGAAAAATTTACGAGCTTCTGATTCCACCATGTCGTGACACATATTTTTTCCTTTGTTCAGAGGGAACAACGTACAGTATAACATGGAAAGGTCGAACAGACAAGACTAGAAATCACGCTTCTGTCAAACTGTGCCTGAGGTCCTGTTTTTTTCTTCGCCTTATCTTTGTAAGATATCCCTCGAACTACCGAGGCTGGTCCTGACAAATTCGAGCTATCCGTGTTATAACTGTATTTAGAAAATTTTTGGTTTTGTAGAAGTGTGAGGTTGAGTGTGTGTTATCTCCCCCAGGCTGTGTGTTCCTGTACTATGCCTCGCCCGTGCTGCGCTCGCTGATGGCGGTGGTGATGAACCAGCTGGAGGTGTCCAGGGAGAAGCTCATGTCGGGATGCCCCAAGCACCACGAAGTGGCTGTCAAACTAGTCTACTGCCTCACAAAGGTAAGCTCACAAGCTCACATGCTGACAGTGGATGCTGATGGCTCCTACTGGGTCTTTAAAAAAAGTTTTAGTAGAGGTTTTACGGTGCTCGCAACTGCATAAGGTCGTATGAGCGCCAGAAGATTAGAGGTGTTGCAAGAGAGTAACAAACTTTAAAAAGAAAAAGGGGAGATAAGGACGATAGATGCTTGATAGGAAAGAAAAAGCAAACCACACCAGAGCACCCGCTAACCACCCACGTACTGGGTCTTATTGTGGGTTTTTTCACCCATGGTCACTTACATTTTTTTTTTTTAAATTTTATTTTAAAGTTGTGTGCTTTGCATTAGTTTTCAAGCCAGATATTAACCCTTACTGTTGCACCAAAACAGAGAGCTTGGTGAGCCGTAGGGTTGGGGCGAGCGGACGGACGGGTTCGTTACTCGCGGACTCAGTCAGAGCGAACGGGTAACGGATGGCCATGAGAGCGAACTGCGAACCTCAAGACAGTTCGTTTTTTGGATCCGCTCCACAATTTAACTCTCTCAGCGAGCGGACTGCGGACCTCAAGCCTCAAGTCAGTTCGTTTTTTGGGTCCGCTCCACAATTTTATTCACTGGGCGGGCGGGCAAACGGACGAACTCTAGCAGACGAGATACTCGACGCGAGATTAGACCCGTCATCTATTGTTTGTTACTTAGGCCGGATGTTTCAAACCACTAGTGGTGCCACAGGGAGTGAGAGAGGCTGGTGACGTAGTACTATGTGTGTAACCTTTCACCTCGTGCGTGGGGCACACTGTGTACGTTCCAATTATCTCAAAGGCCAGGGGAGGGGGGGGGGGGGGCGGAAATTTCCGTCATGAACGCCTAGCTACAATGTGAGGCAGGAGGGTGATTTTTTAATATTTTTTTTAGGGGGGGGGCGGGGGGTTTAAAAGTTGTAGGCAATGGAAGGAGTCGTTCCCGTCCGTCCATCCGCCTGCCCGCTCGAATGCATGGAGTCTCTCGGTCCGCCCGTCCGCTCGCTCGCTAAACGAACTGTTGTCTCTGTCCGATGTGCAGCGAGTAGCGAGTCGCGAACTACTCTTCACAAACGGACGGTTCGTTACCCGTCCGCTCGTTTGCGGGTAATGCCAGCGGGTAGTTCGTTACTCGTGGACGCTAATATTGCGAGCCCGACCCAACCCTAGTGAGCCGCCAGGGTAGATGAAACATGATCGTTATCCATGCTTGTTGGTGGCATTTTTAATACACTTGTCTTTTGCTTGTTTAAAAAGATTTACCAGTGAAACTTATAGTTTGTACTCAAAAATGAAGGAAAATTTATTTTATGTAGCTTTCATTACCTTGAAAGTTTGGAGTAACGGCCACTAGTGTCATTAAAAAAAAAAAATAACACAAAAAAATAATGATACAAATTGGTTTCACCTGTGGCTTTCACCAGCAACCAGCTGATCTGAAGCTCTGACAGTGGACTCAAAAAAGAAAATTTGAAAGTCGTGAAGACTTTACTGCTGATTTTGATGATTTTTAAAAGATTATATAACAGTCATTTTGATTTTAGTAAGCATTTTACAGCACTTGCTACACAATTAGCTCATACAAGGGCTACAGATTAGTGGTGTTACAAGAGAGTAACACACACAGAAAAAGGAGGAGAGAGATATCGATAAGGATGCTGGAATCAATCAACTGGCTGAATTTGAAAGCTGTACTTGGTTCTGTGTGCTTGAGCAGTACAGTACTGGACATACAGTGTACAGAAAATGTTCTCCTTTGTCAGAACACTCTAATCCTTAATAATATAGATTGGCTGTCAGGTTATTCTACAGACCTACTGAAATAGTGGTCTTAAAAGAACGATTTTGTCACACGTGTCTGTGTATGTTTGTTTGTTTTTTGTCTGTTTCTTTGTTGTTATTTTTCAAACACGTTTTTTAATTTTGTTCTCAGGGCTTTTTAATAGTGCCACCATTGTCAAATGTAGCAGAGTTGTTCCCCTTTGTGTCCCCGTATGAAGGTTATCTGCTCCTGCTGACTCTTTGGCATTATATCAAGGTAAGGTTGGAGGTAAAGCTCAAGACCGAATGGCACATCCTACTTCATTACTAAAGACAGTATAGTGTCATTTAGTGCTTGTAACAATACCTGAAGGAACTGTGTCTCTATGGCTTGAATTCCTTTTAGATTGTTTTATTTCCTCTATCATCAGTTTGTGATAAAGTGGGGAACGCGAAGAAGAGAAGAAGAATAAGTACACGTTAATTTTTCATTACAACAGTGTGACCAATTGAGGCGGTCCTTGTGCCGATTTATGGCCTACTTTTGTTAAATGCCAGGGACAGTTACATTCTGAAGCTTCGTAAAGCTGTGGAAGGACAATGGGAAAGGGATTTTCTTTCATATAGCCTCCTTTTTTTCAGTTCAGAGAGATTGACTCCATGGTATGCTAGAGAAATGAGGCGGCCCAATGCCAGTGATGTCATGAAACACCTTGTGTGCTGTCAGGTGCTTCTGTGTATGTGAATCAGCTTTGCAGAAACAAATAGGCCCTGACCGACCAAAAGTCATGCGACAGATGTACAGTCGTGATTCTTGCATTACTTTACAACATTGTGTAGGCCTATTGATGTGTTTCATAAACGTAGGTAAACAGATGCTTGTGTCTTGCCCATAATTGACACATGTGCGTTCTAATGTCTCTTTCATCTGTTTCATTATCTTAAAGGGCGCAAGACTTAATTATTTGCATTACTTGAGGGTTGCTATCTAAAAATAAGAAAGCAAGGAAGAAAGCGATCAGGGATTCTGTTTTCTTACAGATTATCCATATTTTTTTAATTAATTGTTTCTGGATTAATTAGGCAAACTGATCTGTATTTTGTTATGTGTTCAAGTACTGTGTTCAAAGTCTCTTGGTTAGTTCTCTATTACTAGGCAGTTTAGTGAAAATTTCAAATTTGTCTGATATGCTTTGAAATACTTTCATTTGAAAGCTCTTGCCTTCATGATCATAAAACAGTTTAAATTTTGTTGATATCTTTATTAGTTAAAAAGTTATGGCGATTTTTCATGCCTAAAATCCGGCCAATTTCAAGCCACTTTTAACACTGAGTTTTTGTGACACAAAAATGCAACTTTACAACACAAATGACCATTACTCAACACAAAATGCATATTTTTTAAAGTGTTGTACATCAGTTTGTTGGGAATTTTACACAGAATGCACACAACTACAAAACACCTCTTTACAAAGACACAGAAATATTTTTTGGTACTTCTAGAGGTTCAGGGTGATAAAAAATCCCCCGCAAGGATAACCCGAAATGGACAAAATGGGCTATATCTTTGCTGCTAATTGTCATATTTAGATAAATCATACATCATTCTCTTTGTCTTTTTTCACTGTTCATAATTATTAAAGAGTTAAGCCAATTAAGTAATAATTTCCAATTTTTATGACCATTCTTAAGATTTCAAAACGTATTTTTAGTGTTTTTCTAACCGTTAAACGGATTCCGTAAAAAAACAAACCCAACCTATTAATGACCGCCATAAGTCAGCTCCCTATCTTTTACAAAGTATTGTAACATACATTTGTGGGAAGCTATATTTTATGCTTTCAAGTGCATAAAAAAGCTTATAAATTCAAGAAAAATGCTCTTTGGAGACCTAGTTGTAGACCCACTGGAACATTTAATAAACTGCGGAAAGATGACCAGAAAATAACAAAGTCATTTTATGATCTTCACACAAGTTGCACTTGCAATTTTTTTGACAAATTATATTTATAGTCTACCTCATTCTATTATTTTTTCACACATGTTACTTCACTATTCATTACATTTTGAGTTATTATCAACTAGCAATTTTTATTGATGAGCATATTTAAAAAAAAATATTGAGTCAGACTCATTGGCCATAAATTATATTTTTTTAAATGGCACAATTTGATAATGTAAATGTAAAAATATCCAGAAAATAACAACATTAAATTATTAGGTACTGAAAGTGAAAGACTGAGCAGAGGCTTAGATAAACTCGTGTTCTCTACTACTATACTACTAACTAGTAAGTTTGCGCAAAACTGATTTAAGAAAAAGGTTGTCTCATAAAAGCAATTGTTATGATGAGATTTATTATTAACTCTGGAATATAGAGCTAGATGCCGAATTTAACATCAATTAGAACTGTGCAATTCAAGCTTTATTTCAATTCCAAAGCCCAAAGGCATAAATAGTTAGATATGCTGGCTTTTTGACTGTTTCTAGCCTACTACTGCTGAATTCTAGAAGGGAATCTAGACTTACTTATCATTTGCACTATTCAAGAGCCAAATATGGTAAAATAAAAGCAAAACTGTGAATTCTTTTGTCAGTCCGTTCATAATTTCATAGCCGCACGTATTATTATTATCCGGAGAAACAAGTAAAGCGCGAATAAATGCGATGCCGGCGCAATACGTTATCACAGTGTGCAGGGGAGAGCGGGGGCGCCGGGTCGCTGATCGGACGATTCGGCGTTTCGGCTTTTTGTATGCATTTTTACGGGAAGCGCCGTAGCGTTGTGCGAAGTTCAACCTGAACAACCCGGGTGTCAAAAGAAACTAGAATGGATAATCTTATAACTTCTGAAAGATTCACAAATATACAGCCAGTAGTTTTCATTTTATCGCGTTGTAAAAACTGCCTTGTTTTCAGATGCAAATATTTCCAGTTCTACTGAACCGATTTTCACGCGAAGACCGCCATTTTGAAGACCTTTCTTTTCTGTTTAAAAAGATGTATCGGGAGTGGTAGTGCAATTCGCAAAACGAAACAAAACTGTGAGTTGTTTAGACCCACCGTAGCGCGAGGCTTCACGGCCGGTCACAAAAATCTACGGAGCGTACCGCGGCCGATTCGCCCTGCCGCGAGCGCGTTCACTAAACTGCCTCCTATTACATATTTTACAAATATTCTTAATTGAATGACTGCTTTGGGAAAAAGATGCATCAGTGGATTTACATGAGCATTGTTTCTCCTCACAGGACAACCCCCCATCAGAGTTTGAGAGCGAAGTGAAAAGAAGAAGTAAGTGATTTGTATAACTCAATGACTCACAACAGATGTTTTGTGAGTGACTTGTAGCTAACACATGGTGACGGTGACTTCTTTGTGACACACCGTGACTGTGTGAACACATTATGACACATTATCTAACACACTATGACAGTGAATTGCAGCTAACACATAACGACCATGAATTGGTATTGACACATTTTGAAGGTTAGTCGTTACTGACACATGGTGACTGTTATTCATAATTGACCTATAATGATAAAGACTTTTAAGTGACATGTGTTGACATCTAATGTCCTTTTGTGGTGACTGTAGCTTATAACTGAAGCATGGTGGCTGACTCGTAACGTACCTGTTGTGTCTGACTTGTATGTGACATATGGTGGTGACTGTGACTTATTTTTGACCGGTGATGGCTATGACTTCTTAATTGACCTGTATGATCAGTTACTCTGTTTTTATCACTACTTGCATGATGGGTGATCTCAGAGGGTGATGGGACTTATTGTGTGGCAACCACTACAAACTTTAATTAGATCTATTTGTGGTTTTTAAAAAATATCTTTTCTTTTGCCAAGAGGGAGAAAAGAGGCTGCCTTTGACTCCCCAACATGTATTTGCTGTTTATACTTGGGGCTCACAAAAGTCAAAAATGAATAAATGAAGCATTTCAAAGGAACCTCAGCTAAATGAAATTTGATGGAGAAATGCTCTAAAATAAATAAAAAATGTAATGGTCCAGTTTTGGAATGTTGATGAGAATCAGAGACTGGGTGTAGATGTTGGTATAGATCCAAATTATTTGAAGACACAAAAATAAATATTTGTTTTAAAGAAATGACCAAAAGCAAACAAGTTAACCGTTTGACCTCCCAGGTATGTTACAGTGTAAATTTGTTACTTTTGTCATGTATGTGGAAAGGAGATGTAGATGGCTGAATAAAACTGATCAGGGCACAGTTTTGAAATAGCCCCTCAAACATGCATCTCAAAGAAACACCCAGCAACCAGTGACTTAACAGACCAGGTCATGTAGTGACGGAAAAAAGAAGGTGAAACAAGAGGTGTGTGACAGATTGTACTATCTAAATAAAAAGATATAATTTCAGTCGAACCTGCTCTAACAGCCACCTGCCCTTGACAATCGCCTGTATAAATTACCAATTCTCACTCCCCACTCCCCCCTTTGTGTTGTTTTGTTATTATAATGACACTGTCTAAGAATACCCTCTGCCAAAGAAAGATGCTTGCTTTTCCCCTCAAATGTGGAAAATTTTGTTTGACAGGTTCAACTCTACAAAATTTGGTAAACAGTGCTTATTTTTTCGTTTTGCTGAAAAACGAGGCAATTTCAAACCAACAATATCCGCTCTACTTCTTCTTTGCTACGGTTGTGTACAGTTCTTTTTGTTGTTTTTTCTTCCTCAGCCTGCGACAATTCTCACACTTTTGTGGTGCACTCCATCCTCCACTCCAACATCGCACACATGGGACATCTCTGCCCACGCATCTTCAACATGTGAGTCGCTGACGTGTGACCGCCGAGCCTATTCAACATTTGAGTCACTGACGTGTGCCTACCCCGCATCTTTAGCACTGGAGTCACTGATAGTGGTAGCAGGAACGCAAGCTGCTTTCGAGAAGTTCTTTCCATACAGCTCTATTAAGCACTATTGTAAGGATTTGGACACAAACTGAAAGTCTTTTCATTTTTGTTTTTTGATGTATGTGTTCCTTGCAAAGTGGGGCCCTTGTCATGCCAATTCATCATATTCTGGCGAACTGGCTGTTTACTACAACTGTACCACTGCTGTAGACTCTGTAGAGGGATGACGAGTGCTGCTTGTGAGGTGGGAAGTTTAATATGCTTGCCTTTATAAATTTGTGAGTTGTCCCAATCAGGGTCATGGGTGAAAGTTCAAAGACATAAAAAACCTGAAGAGGTAGAGTCGGGGCATGCATGCCCTACCCCCTAAGCGCCTTTTCGTGAATAACATCCGGTGACACAGTTGGATTTTAATATTTTCACTAGAGAGTAGCCCTGCACTGCTTTCCTGACCTTTTAGCATGTGGTTTCTATATTATATGTGTGGGGAGCTGCAAAAACCATTCATATGGGTCCAAATGTGAAAATTGAGATTTCTACATAATATTATTCTACAGCTTTCCGTGAGTATTTTGCTTTTTTATTTGAAGGTTTTATCTATTATAGTTTCCGAGATATTGCAGTTTTTATCACGCAAGGTAGGAAAAATCCGAAAAGAGAAAAACGGCTTTAAAAGTTTGAGCAATGTTTTTGGCAGATATGAGCTCAACAAAAGGGACAAAACTCAACATATACTAGTACAGTAACCACAACAACATACTTGTAGACAAAATGTAATAGGTTTTCTTACCTTTGTAGCTGGTGTTGATGTATTTATATCCACATTACTGATGTTTCATAGATTACTCCGTGTTGGCTCGGCGGCTGCGTCCACGACCTCGACCTCAGATGGCTTTGCCTGGTCCTGCTACAGTTTTGTCGCTTTGGCTGGCACTTCATATTCACTGTCAGAGGAGTCACTGCCACTGTCTTCAGGTGTTACATTATCCTGACAGTGAGGGGAGACGAATGGACGAATCTCTTTGAAGAGATATTGCTGGCGTTTGAGGCTGAGCCCAGGTGACGGAATTACTGGCGGCAGAACATCCGGCCCAGGGAGAGCTGCTTTCTGTAGGGCCTGGGCTGTTTCAGGGGCTTTGCTGTGTTTTTCACTGCGATGATTCCTGAGTTGTTGAAAGAAAAATGTTGAAGGGTTTTTATTCCTTTCACCTTACTGAAATACTTGGAAAGAAAAGTCGTCCAGTCACAGGTGGGAAGTTGAGATACTCCATTTTCTGTACCCACTAGAATGGCCTCGTTCATAGCAGCCGAAGCATCTACAACTTTGACTGGATCTTGCAAACAATCAACCTTTGTCACCTTTTATTTTCTTTTTATGAGACCAAATCCACCGTCTGGGCTAAACTTTGTATGGCCCGCAATCAGAAAGCTTAGGCAAATATTCTTATTTCGACTGGTGCCACATGAGGTACCAAATCATTACTGAGTTTTTGTTTTGTCCGGCACAATTGTCTGCATATAAATGAAGTTCTGTCTCACCAAGGCTGAAGTTTTCCAGGTAGAAATGCAGATAAGACACAACTGTGTTGGCACTTTTCCCCAGTGTTGTGAGCCTCATCAATTAGAATGTTCACCTGTTTTCCCAGCGCCTCATTATTAATCCCAAAAAGGCCACACTTCCAGGGGGTCTTGAAATAAATTGGCCCAGCTTGAAGAGGATCACTTGGAAAGTGAGTCTGCTGAGCAAAGTCGAAAGAAATGTGATTTTTCCCTTGAAAGGAGCAGTATGGATGGGGTCCTGGTTGTCTGGCTGGCGGAAGTTGTGTCTTTACTATTTCACAGCTGTGTTGGTAAAATGAACGCTCATTCTGAACAATCTCCTGATGAGAGTTCAAATCGTCTATTAACCGTTTTTTCTCTTCATCAGGCTTGTTGGCTGACAGCTGAATTTGCTGCATACCTCTTTGACAGGTCCAGCAGAGATCTGTTGCAGGAGGCATGGTCCTAATAAAAGGGATTAACTGTCTCCTCAGTTTTCTGAAGGTTGTGATGTGAGCACAGTGGTGTCCTGTTTCCTCAGACGATGTTTTGAACAGTTCATATACCTCTGTTTTTGTGCAATGTGTGGGCAGCAACCTAACGTTCGTAATCCAGTGTCTGGGTGTTCTTCCTGGCAGTTCTATAGCGTGGATCTCTGCATAGTTTATTATGAAGTCAACTACCCTCCTGGTGTCTTCATACTTCAGGGTGTTATGGGGAAGCCGCTTCTTGCTCTTGTGGACACGGGCTTCAACACCACAGGCCTTGTAATGCTTAATCAGGGTTGTCAGTTTGCCAAGCCCAATGTCATGAATGTACAGGAAGAAATCACGGCAAATACGGTGTCCATGGAGCAAGTAATCCGTCCGTGACGCTTTCCGTTCTGTTTGGACTGCCTTTCGTGATTTGCGGGTAATAGAATCCAAATGAATGCCACATGAAATTTTTGACAGCACAGCTATGTCAAATTCTTTGTCCGTTAAGGCAATGTACTGTCTTTGTCCGTTAAGGCAATGTACTGGTGTCTTATGTCCTGGATTGTTTCTGCATGAAAGTTTGAGTAACACGGTGTTGACTTACAGGAGCAGGGGTATGGGACAGGCCCTTTCGTTGACGTGGAAGGTGGGTCGATGTGTAAATTCGGTTGGTCCAGTTAAGGGGGTGTTGGCTGGTATGGCTGACAGATGGGGTCTTTTGCGTTCAAAAGGCACGTTCCTTTCTGACAGGTCTAGCTCAGTTGTCAAAACTTCACAGACCGAGTCATCTGGGGAAAATGCATTTAGCTCTAAGAACAACTTATTTTGCAGTTGCAGTAGGAATGTAGCACAATCTTAACCACTCAACCAGAGTAAAGTTTACTTGAATTTATTATACTGGAAAAATTGATCTAATCTACCCTTGTAGGCCAATGTATGAATTAAAATGACACAAGCTTAACATTTAAAGGAAAAGATAATGCCAAATGGTTTATAGTCCACAGCACAATCTCAACCAAACCAAAGTTAAGTTTATTAGATTTTATTATACTGGCACTGGGAAAACTGATCTAATCTACCACTATGGGCCAATGTATAAATTAAGATGACACAAGCTTAACATAAAAGAAAAGATAAAATCAAATGCTCTATAGTCAGCGTTTATAATCAACTATGACAATAAATGTCTAAGACAAGAGGTGCACACATGTTTAAGAAATTCAGGGGTCTAGGACACAAGAAGAGTCTAAGTCTAGATCTAGATCTAGCTTACTTTAGAATTTACCTACAAACTGAATCTATTACAGAACAGGAGGTCATCTTATATCTAAATCTATCTACATTTTGATATGTGGTCATGATTTGTCATGATTATAGCTATAAACAGTCGGGGTGAGAATGTAAACAAAGCATGTCGAAAGCAGAGAAAGACTGGGAAGAGCCTTTAAAAAAAACAATTTTAAACTACTTATCATCACTGGATTGCTCCTCATCAGTAGTTGAGTCATTTTCCGATTCCTGTCTATCACCAAAATAAGCATCAAAGACTTCTTGGTAAGCTTCTGTGTCTGTAGCCTTTAAATTCAACAGACGAGCTAGTGTCTCAACGCTCTTTCCTCTGGGACTCGCCGTTTTGAAAGTGAGCAGGGTCTGGGCACGGGTCAGGGTTCAGATGCTGCTTTTTCAAATTATTACTCTTTATTTAGATAAAATAACAAACTATTGCATCTTGACAATTTTCCAGTAATTATTTTAGTTTAAGGGTGTATTTCAAGTAAGAATTGTGGCAATTATGGACAAATATTGGTGCTTAAACTCGGCACTTGATTTTTATTACAAACATTCACAGTGGCGCACTAATCTGGATGCGCACTCCATGCTTCTTTGTCCAAGGTATGTGCACTACTTTTTATTCGCCAGTACACAGACTGAGCTTTCCAACAATGTATGATATGTGGGGTTTGTCTTAAAATACTTTTGAGAAAAGTCGGTCAAAAAGAGATGGATTTTCGGAGTCCTCTTCAGCACTGTCAGCCGTGTTTGCTAATCATATCGGCTGGGGGTGATGCTGAAAATAATTAAAATAGACATATTTCAATCTCGAAGTATTGTTTAATATTTCTAGAGATGAAAGTTAAGATGCTGAATAACAAATTGGTGCAAAAATCTCAAATTCCAAAAATCTCAAATTCCATAGGAAAGCCCAAAATGACCTTTGAGACGGCCTAGCTTTAAAGTAAGCACAGCGACTTCGGAACGGTTTTCGCAGCTCCCCACACATATGATGTGTTTCTGGTCCCGTTTGGAAATACCCGTGCGCTAGGAAGAATGTTCATGCATCAATACAGGGATGTCCATGCAACAATGGAATGTCATGCGCTGGTCATGTGGAATGCTTATGCGCCATGGCTTGTAAGATGTCAGTGTGTACAGCTTCAATCTCTCCTTTTTTGTGAGTTTTAGATTAGGAAGGGTGTTGCATTCTTGTGGACAAATCAAATACAATGCAAAAACTAAAAAGCGATGTTCTGGTCTAATCTAACGAAGATCTTTGCGTATCCCGGGTAACATCCATGCTGTTCGAGTTGGAGGAAAAAGTGTAGTACAGTATGCGCTTTATTTGGATTGTTGAGTCTACAAGTCATGTACACCCTACCTTAGGTGTTGCAGTTCATGTTTTGATTTAATTCTTGAGTTTGCTTGACATAGATCTATCATGTAGGCCTATACACTTCCTTGTGGTTGATCAAAATATTCAAACAACGACAAAGATCAGACAAGTACGTTAGAGAAGACGATAACAAACATAGAAAATATAAAAAACACCAACACTATTTTGGTTTAACTCACTCGGGACCAGCCCTATTTTCGGACACAAACCCTTCGGACCAGGGTTTTTGGAGAGTTTTCAAAAGATTATTTAGTGGTATTATAGTTGGGTTACAAAGCTGAAATTTGGCACACTTACAGATACAACCTTTCTGAACACAGTGCACTTGACGAAAATCCTCTATGTTGGATACTTTTTTTCCCCCACGATTTGTCATATGACCTTAAGCAGTTGCGAGAGCCATAAAACACTTTACAAAAACAAAAAACAAAAAACGATTTATCAAAAACACACCCTTTTTGAGAATTAAAAAAAAAAATTTTCAGCATCCATGATATAACCCTGGCTAGGTTGTTACCTATATTTGCTGTAAAAAGATCCTAAAAGTAAAGATTGATAACTGTTATTGTGCAAGGCATGTGTATGCTTGGAATTGTGGTGAAAAAGAGACTACATTCTGCATCAAAATCCACATGGTTAGCACAGACAGAGGTTGAGAGAAAATATGAGAGGCCTCGTGGATACGCAAACAAAACATACATGCAAAAACATGCAGTTTGACTCACCAAAGGCTTGTGTATCCAATAAGTATATACTCCAGTAATCCAGGGGGTTTAGTTACAGTACTCCTTCTTTGTGTGGAAGTCCTGAAAGCAGGGGACCACACACAGGGGTACTTTGTGGTATGGGCACCAGAACGACGTTTCTTTCCGCTTCATTGTGGAGCCCGGTTGCTTCGCCTTCTCATAACACACCTTGCAACTCCGGGTGGGACGTTTCTTCTTCTCAGTTGAAGGAATATAGTCCGGGAAGCAACATGAGTGCAGGTGATCCAGCTGTGTGGAAGCTGGGTCCTCGGAATCACCTTCTTGCCAGCCCAAGAATTCCTCCGCCATGCCCTGTCAAAGCTTCTGGATGAACTTGGAGATTGGCAGAGGCTTCCCACCTGTTGATGTCTGTTTCCTGTTGTACAGGATGGAGGCCTGCACCATCATGAGGGTAAACAGGTGTCCAAACAGTTTTTTCCACCATTCCAAGGTGCGGCGATGGAAGGGCATATAGGCCATGAGTTGGTGGCTGCGGTCTACACCCCTCATGTTGAGAGTGTACCACCAGCGGTTTCTCCTTGGTCTGGGCCGTTGATCTGACTGTCACCCTTCTCCGTGGGTCATGCACAGTTGTCAGAAGGTTGACAGACTTTTTATCTTGCCACCGGAGGGCCACCAGTTTGTCTTGCCATCGGTAGGCACTCTCTCCAGTTCTTAGTAGGTAGTGTTAACGCGGGCACTCGCGGCCTTCCGACCGCGTGGTGTCGATGAAATCGGGGTGATTCTGATCGCTGTTTCTTTGCTCTTTCGCTATAAAACACCAAATGCCGTAAACCTTGTAAAAGTTCAGCTTTTCATCGTTTCAATGGGGTAAGTTGTTTTTATGTCCGATTATTAGGAGCTGGAGAATCGCAGATGAAAGCGAAGCCCCCCGCAGCCGTAATGCGTGGTCGGCCGGTTGAAAAATTGACACGCGTGCATTCAAATGCTTCGCGGAACAAAGGATGATTAAATACCGTCTTTTCATTGGCGGAGAACTGTAAAGCTTTAAACGAGCCTTCCCGTGGTATATATTTGGCCTTTGGCATCGAAATAGAAAGCTTTTAAAAATACTGTCAAAATGTTTAAAGATCACTTTTAACACAAAATATGTAAAATACCGGCTTAAAAAACGTGTCAATTAAAAGATCAGTTCTTTTCCTATTAGAATAAAGTAATCAGCTTTGAATTATTTTTCATCAATCCTTCCGCTAGACTTGGAAAGCATGTGACCCCACATGTGGGGTACACTACAGTATAGAGCCAACTCGCTCGCCCCGGGGGGCGGTGCGGCGCCGGCCGGGTCAACGCTTGGTGTTTTTGTCGAGATAAGGACAGATCTTCGTGTTTGGGGCGATAAAATACTGATTTGTAATGATCTCACAGTCTTGAAAAAAATTAGGCTCCATATATTATATTTCTTATAGTGATTGTACTCTGTTAATGTGGAGATGTTTAGTGCTCTTGGTACTCTTTTATTGTCTGTCAAACATGGGGTTGCAGCCAGTGACTGACTTTATTGGCGCTTAAATGACCAAAATTGTGTCGATAGTGCCGTACAACATCTACCCAATCAATCAATGACTTTAACAAATGTGATCAAATTTTAAACGAATACCATTTTCTTTAAAATTGACCAAGAGGTTAAAGAATGGTACCAAAATGCTCAGTGGAAATATATAGGCCTTTCAAATGAAGCAGAACAATTTGGAATACTGCTACTTTGAAAATTTAGTTTCTGGTACCTATTCTTAGATTCAGCGTTGCCAAATCCTTCGGCGTACCCACAAGATTGGCTCTTACTGTCCCAACAATCATGGTGTCGCATGCGATCATCTCATGGTACAAAGCTGGACAGGTGTAATAGTTGTCCGTGTACAAAATGTACCCTTTGTTCATTAGCGGCAACATCATTCGTCGGCACACATCCACGGGTTTGTTGCTGATGGTAGGGTCAGCGGCATAGATTTCGAAGGCACAGACGTACGCAGAGGCACTCTCGCACAGCATGTACAGCTTGATCCCCACTTGTTGGGCTTGTCTTTCATGTACACCCTGAACCGCAGGTTTCCCCTCCATGGGCAGATGGCTTCATCAATGACGAATTTCTGTCGAGGGGTCACGAGGTCTCAAAAGGTTGCAGAAAGGGGATCGATATTGGTCGCAGCTTATGGAGAGGGTTGTGACCAGTTTCTCTGAGGGGCCCGTACGTGGTGTTGTTGTTGAGATGCAGAAGGCCAAGAATCTGCATGAAACGGTTCTTTGAC